GATTTTGAAAAGAAATCTGCCACTACTTTGAGCTCATTGCTTTTAAAGCATGAATTGAAAACTCAAAAAACTGTGAAAATGTTAAAGCCAGAAAGTGTATTCGAGGCTAACAAAGCCTTTCTTGGGACCCTCCTCATCCAGGGAATCCCAATTTAATACTAACTTACCTGTGGCCTAGTCTGTCCCCACATGAGTAAACTCCTCAAGGATAGGAACGAGGTGTTTCTGTGTAGTTCCCAGGCCCAACCTGGTGATGGACACATAATAGGTGTTCATTATACATTGAAAGCAAAAATCAATTTTTTAAGGAGACTGGGATTTAATAAAATTGTCTTGGGCTGCGGAAATCTGTTATTTTAGACTTACTTTCTTTGCTTAGTAAACAATACCTTACACGGGAATAGTCTTCAGGAGGTTGCAAAGCCCTCCATGTTTTGCTTAATTTATCCAAAAAATGAGAATATGAAGTAAGTGATCTTATCCAAACTTTAGAGATAAGGTGAGAAGGCTCTCAGGCATTCATGGAGCCAGAAACCCTGGAAAAGGCCCACGCACATGCCCGGTGTACCCTGCTAGGTCCTACCTGGCCACCCTCCAGGGAGTCCCCAGGCAGAAGAGATCACAGACTCCTGCACTTGGTGTTTGAAAATACTATGGAGTGTTTCCACTCATGGGTTTCCGGTGACTGTTTCAGCAAGCCGAGAATGGGACTCCTTAGTTATGAGAACACAACGCTGGTAAGCGGTGTGCCGTAAGAACTTTCAAAACATACAACACCTGACTGTTTAGTCAGGGGCCCTGATCTCTTTTCCCTTGGATTGTCCACTAAAAAAATGACAACACAATAGCTGTCCGGTGTGAATGAATTAAAGTTATACCTATTTTTTTTGTCAGATCGGCAAAAAAATATATTTTTCGGTGTGCTGCAGAATTTTGGTAATTAGATTCTGTGTGCCGTGGGATGAAAAAGGTTGAACATCGCTGTGATAAGGGAACAGCAATAATGCTGGCACTTTTATCTAATTATCAGCAAGTCCTTGTCCAGGACATTTAATACCTTTTATAAATGTATAATGTGCTTAGCAGGTATTTCTCCTTTAGTGAAAACAATTGGTCTTAGCAGCAAAAGATGCTGACAGTCACTGCAGATGGGTGCCTAGTGGCTCTTGCTGGGCTGATAAGAGTCCATTTCCAGGAAAATGTAACCTTGATTTCTTATAAAACATCGGTCATCTCAGATAATGGTGACAATCTAGGTACGGATGCTTATATTCATATCTCACAACAGGCAGTTTTAAGTGACTTTATCCGTGAGCTTTTAAATGGAAAAACTAAAGTACAGAGAAGCATGTTGTCTTAGATCACTCTGCAAATCAAAACACATACTTCTTAAAATAAAATATTCTTTTCTTGTGCTAAGGACAAACCCCATGAGGCAGAAATATAGTTATGCAGCTGTTGGTGGGGAGGGCAGGGAATTTCCTCAGCCACCCATGCAGGAAGAGGAGGGGCCTTATCCATTGGCTGGCTCATCTTATGAAGATCCACTGGAAATTAGGTGGACACAGAGCACCGTTCTCTGGGCTTGCGGAACATTTTCCAAAGCACAGATGTTTTTCTCTTAACCGTGAACGCTGGCTGGCTTGTCCATATCCTTTTTCAGGGCTCAGCCGATGGGCTGATTCGGAGTGAGTTGTCCCCTGTAGCTTGGGACCCATGTTCATTGCTGGATGGAAAACACATCTTTGGCTAGACAGACATAAATCAATATTACGGGAAAATGTTTCCATTTTGGGAAATTCCCCAAAATAAAAGTGTCTTTCTGGCTCTGGGCCTATATAACTAACCACGAGGACACCTCAATAAAAGAGAAAATGGATTTTCAATAGTTTTGCCATACTAGTGATATGTGATTATGAGCTCCTGAAGATTTTTCTGTTCCACTTTAGAAACAAAAAGTTGACTCATTTTTTTTCTGGTTAGTGCCTCAGTGTTTTCATTAGGTATTTCTAAAAGACTTTATCTGAATCACAGTAAGAAAATTATTTCAGAGCTAGGATAAAATTTTACCTGTCATAAACAGCACTGAGTGTTAAAACCTGCTTTGAGCTTAACAAATTACACAGAAGCTTAATGCCCAGGAATACAATATATCAAGTAAACCAGTAATTTTTCAAACACTGAAAGGTTCAATTAATTTAGATAATACAAGTTTGGAAATGTAAGATTGGCTAAAAATATTATAAATCCTATTAACTTGCTAATTAAGTTTGTTTTATTAGAATATTTTAATTTCTTAGCAATCAAATAGCATTTAACTTTTTACAACAAATATTTCATCATATGGATAGACACATTCATCTTTTATTTATTATCTGTCAAGATTGATATGCTAAATTATAACTTAGCTTAATGTGCTCTCATTAAGTATCTTGAGGATAAATTTAAATTTTCAGTAAAAATGCAATTAACTTGAAATGTAGACCCAAAAAATGCTTGTGAAGGAAAAAAATCCATCATTACGTTTAAGCTTTATGTTTATGTAAGTATTTATTTATATAGTGGGAGAAAAAAAACTTTCCAGATAATTATGAATGAGATATTGTTATATAATACATTATTTCTGTGTTAAAGCCACTGACATTTGCTTTTTTAAAATTAATTTTGAGTTGTATATGAAAGGTCTATTAATCAGAAAAACACAAGGTTATCTTTAAACTTACTTGTTCAGGTATTTCCAAACTGGAAACCTGGAAAATCATAAAGTTGCAAACTGGCGTTATACCTTTTCTGGGGACAAAATGGTGAGCTGTTGCTTCCTTTCTGGGTGTGTGCACACAGATCACTGTGTCCACTGAAAACCACCTGGGGGCTGGGGTACTTCACGTATCAGTGCTCAAAGTCATCGTTAATTGTGAGCACCTTGAGTTTAAGTTCCAGAAGGGACAGAAATCTGAGCCATGAGATGCCCCCAAGTGAGGAGCCATGTTGAAAATTTCATAAAATGTCTTTGTATAAATTACACCCAGACCTGAGAATAGGGCAGCCCTGTGGAACTTAAATATTATCTGAAATGTCGTTATGTGAAAACCACTTTAGAAGAACACTGCCCACTCTTCTCTGAACCAATGGTGTTTCTAGAATTGCCTTTATCCATTCTATCTTTAAAGGAAAATACAGTTTTATTGATATTATGGTTTTGATACTTAATAGCTATGTGACCTTCAGCAAATTCCTTAACTTCTCTTGCCCTAGTGTCCTCATCTGTAAAATGGTGAAGGTTGGGGCAGGGATTAAGTGAGTTAATGTCAATTGTTAAAACTAGTATAATCCCTGGCTGGCGTGGCTCAGTGGCTGAACATTGACTTATGAACCAGGAGGTTATGGTTTCATTCTGGGTCAGGGCACAGGCCTGGGTGTGGGCTCGATCCCCATTGGGAGGCATGTAAGAGGCAGCCAATCAATGACTCTTTCTCATCGTTGATGTTTCTATCTCTCTCTTCCTCTCTGAAATCAATAAAAATATATTTTTTAAAAATACTAGTATTATCACTCATCTACCAGATTAACTCATAATTTTGCAGAGAAGCCATCAGCACTAAAATTTAAAAAGCAATTACAACACAATTCATAAGTTTTTTCCAAAATGTAAAAAGACTCAATCTTTAAAAAACTTTCATAAGACCCCCAAAATGACTATTGCTTGGCTCAAAATTATCTATCCTAAATACATTTGGATTCTTTCTAGCTTTAACCACCCCCACTACACCCTCCTCCCCACCCCACAACTAAATTCATGCACAAAAAGAGTCCTGTTGCATCAAAGATGAACTTGCTGATCAAGACTTTATAACTGATCCTTAGGGCATGCCTCCCAGGCACAGGGTTGGTAAGGCGATGAGTTCCTTCTAGAAGATGAAGCTGAGAGATAACAACAAACAGTTTTCCCTCCCTCAGGATACTCCTCACTACCTTCCTTCTGTGTGAGATTAGGAGTAGAGCTACACCTGCAGGCACAACTCTAAGATCGGATGTGTCCAGACTGATCTAAATGTATCCCTAGGTCAGTGGTCGGCAAACTCATTAGTCAACAGAGCCAAATATCAACAGTACAACGATTGAAATTTCTTTTGAGAGCCCAATTTTTTAAACTTAAACTATATAGGTAGGTACATTGTTATTAACTTAATTATGGTACTCCTAAGGCTTAGGAAGAGCCACACTCAAGGGGCCAAAGAGCCGCATGTGGCTTGCGAGCTGCAGTTTGCCGACCACTGCCCTAGGTCCTCTCTCTCTGGTGGTCCTCTCCGTAGCTAGAGATGAGCAAGAAGCACACACTGTCTGCCCCGGCACTCCATTTTCCACACTTGCTGAGGGAGGTCTTAGAGAACAGAATGCACCAAATCAGGAGCTCCCACAGATCACACTCAGCTTTCTCAAGTGAAGAAAGAAGAGCTGGACAAGGAAGGCTGCTGAGCTAAATTTATGAGCTACTCCACAGAACATGAAGCTAGAGGGGTCATTTCTGCAGTCACTATGCTATTTCTATGACATATAGGAGTCACCCACTAGCTCTAGGAAGTAAGGAGAGTAATTTAAGTTCAAATCTTTATGTCAGGATTTAGTATCGAACAGGGAGATACTCTTTGCCTCTGCTGATTGTCTTAGACAGACACATGAGGGTCCCAGGGAAGCTGGCTACCTTCTCTAGGTGGTAGTGGGTTAAAGCAGATCCCAATCTCTGGAAGTTTTAGTTGTAGGCCCTTTCCCAGGGAACTATTATTTGAATGTCACTATTCTAGGAGGCAGTCAAATTCAAGGCAGGAGTACACTGAATCACAGACATGATGACAATGCAAATGTTTAGTGCTGGTGGTTGCCTGTTATTTCCTAGGTGATACTGTTGGCCCACAGGCTTCCTTTCTTTTTTACAAAATAAGCAAATGTTTACTTTATCATTTACACACATAAAATATACAGAAACAACATACAAACTGCTCGAAATGCAAATACTCTGGTTTACTTATCACAATAGCAAATAAAAAAATAGCAAAAACCTTTTCAGTTAAATAAAAAAGTGGCATTCTTTATTTACCTATCAAACCTTACTAAACATTGAAATGCATTCATTTTCATTCTCATGTTCTGTGGTAATATCCTTTCTTCCCTTTTGCCCCTCATTCCCCTAAATTATTTTGATGGGCTCATCTCTAAAAGAAAGATTGTTTTAATTTTCTTAATATCACGTACTTTTTATTGCCCTAATATCAAGAACAATCTAGAGTTTTCCTTGTCTCTTACATTTGAAATGAATATTAAAAATGGAGATTCCATCAGCACATTTTCAAGGTAACATGAAAGTTAAGCCCTCAGCAATCATTTCAAAGCAATGGCATGCCATTCCGTTCTGGGGAATTATCATGTTTGGGGAAGTGTCAGGTTGATACTAAAAACCAGGACTCACCTCCAGAAGCATATCTGATATTAAACATTATTCATAACCTCAAATACAGTTGTTTTCTATAATAGAGAAGCAGTTTTCCATTTCTCTGAGGGTTCCAATTTGACTACCTTAATTCTTTAATGTCTTAATAAAGACAATTCTTGAATGTCAATGACAAAAGTATTTAGCAAAAGAATGTACAACAAAGGTAGAGTTGAAAATGGAATGGTTTCAAATGGAGAAATGACAGCAAGGGAAAGTTCTTGGCTTTTTAAAAGAGGTATATATACATAGTAAGGAATAAAAGTGAATCAAAACACATAATTCTGTACATGTTAGAAATATCCAATGTGCTGCCAACACAACTGCCCTAAAAAAAGATGCGTCGAGGTTTGGAGCCACACATACTTTCCTCTGTATAACTCGACATTTGCGTTATGCAACCACACATCTTTCCCAGGTTCTGTTAACCCTTAGAAGCATTTAACAACTGTTGGCAATATGCTTTTCTTCAAATAAAACGAGCTTCACAAGACATTGTCATTAATGTCTGACACTTGGATTGGGCAAAGTCTTTCTGAAATATGTTTACTCTTCAAAAAAACTCTTCTTTCCTTCATAAATCAACAGCGCTCCATCTTCAGATAAATCAGGAGCAGTCACCATCTTAATTCACATGCTCATATGTTCTCTTCATCCAACATTTTGTTGACGCCATCACAAAGTTTTTTTAAGTGGGGTTTAAAATTCCCAAAGGGATTATACAAGGCAGCCAGAAAATCACAATCTGAAAAGTGATCAAAGACATTATTAATCCGTCCGTGAGACTTTGCGGTGAGGTGGCGCTGAATGATCTGGTGCAGCAACTCTCTGCATTCGTTCAGCAGCCTGGACAGCACGTTCCGGTCAAAGGTGTAGTCCACCTGATGGAAACTGACCACGGTCATCGCAAGCTGATGAACTTTCTTCTTAAATTTCTCCATCAGCGCTAGCTCATCTTGATTGAACTGATTATTCCTGTACAGAATGGCCAACTTGAGGACTGTTTTGATGAGGTTTTTGATGATCTTCTCGGCCTCCTTCTTGTTCTGGGTGTACTCCCTGGTCACCCGGTACAGCTCATCTAGCACTTCGCTGCTCGTGTCATCGATTAAGGTGGTGGCGATGGATTTGGATACCATTTTACCCAAGATCTTCTTTTGTGCCTGAACGGCCAGGTTTTTGGAATTAAAGACATCTGTGGCCACTGAAAAACAAAGGGTGGGGGAATAACAGATCAGTATCAGTGACAGAGCAAATTAAAAACAGATACAATGGTGCATTTTCCTTCTCATTTTCCCACTATATGTACAATATGCCTCCCATCTACTGATATTAGTTTCTGTTTAGAAAAGAGCTAAAAAAAAATTTCCCTACATTTCTGGGCATTAGGTTCTAATCTGTTGTGCATAATCTTTAAAGTCTTTGGCAATTCGAGTATTTTTTTTAATATTGATTTTTAGAGGGAGAGACGGGGGAGGGAGAGAGAGAAACATCAATGTGATAGGTAACATCGATCAACTGCTTCCTGCAGGCCCCCTACCCGGGATAGAGCCTGAAACCTGGGCAGGTGCCCTAACTGGGAATGGAATCAGCAATCTTTCGGTACATGGGATGACACCCAACCAACTGAGCCACACTGGCCAGGGCGGGAATTCAAGTATTTTTTACCTTCTGCTATGTTGTCAGTACTTTGCTTAGAAGTTAAAGGGTTCAACTTTCTTAAAAATAACATTTTCTAATTATAAAAAGAGTATGTCTCAGGAGGGAGTAAGGTTTTGTGCAATTTTTCTCTAGCTTCATTTGATAAGAAAGACATCAAAAAATATAAAATCAACTCCACAAGTGTCCTCTGGGAAACAGTTACCAAGAATAATTTAAAGAAACTCATTTAAATGTAAGAGGGACAGATGACAAAGCTATGATATTGAGTAAAATGGCAAAATCATGGAAGCAAATCCAAAGGAGAGCCCAGCGTTACAATACACTTGTAAAAAGTCAAATTTCCCAAGACACTGGTCTATACCTACCAGTTTGGCCATCCTAACCACCCTGAATTTCAAGTCCCAGAAGCTGAGTATTGGGAAAAAAATTCATTGGGGAGCTTCTTGTCACTTGCTATTTCTGATGAACGGCCACTGCTCCCTTTACACTTTTCTATGTTTTCAGAAAATAACCATACTGTATGAGCCAATAATATGTGCTACATGAACAATATACTCTGAAAAAGCTGAGTCTTAGAGTTTACCTCTCGAATTATCATAACTTAATTTGACAGAGGTTTAAGGAACATATTATAATAGTTGTATGTGTTAAATATTAATGAGACACTATCTGATGTCTCTAGCTTACAGCCAATCAGTGAAAATGCTCAAGCAATGTTTATTCCAGACCAAGTTTAGTTTTTCTCCAGTTCCCATCCCCACCCCCCACTGTGCATGTGGCTCCACTGCAGCTGTGCTTTCTCCCTTTGCCTCGGTCCTCAGAGCTGTAGAGCTCAGGGTCTCTGCTCCACCTTTGGGTCCAGGAGCAGCTGTTCTCTCCACATATGCCCGTGTATAGGTCTAGGTCTGGGTGTTGGAAAGCACTCATCCAGTAATGAAAGATAAAAGGCTTAAAAAGACAGATTATGAAGAATGAGTCAGGACATTAATGGTATAAAATTACTTCTAGTTGGACAGGCCAGCAACATTAGAAAACTGCTGCTCCCGAATCCAGGCTGGGAGCACGTATCAGGAGTGACTGCCTCAGTGTGGAACTGCCGTGTTGGATTCGAAGTTTGGGCCAAAGTAGCTCATGGTGTATAGTACAGGCAGCTGCAGAGTGGTTCCCTGAGACCAGAACATCATTCCTGAATATGCAGGGCCACACATTGTGAAAGAACAGCGTGATTGGACTAGAAGTCGTACCCTCAAACAAATGTTGATATTTAAACTTCTGAAAACTGAACTGAAACTGCAGAAGAAGAAATGAAATATATTTTGAGAAAGAAAAGGAAAGTGAAAAAGCATGAGAAACAGGCAACTTTGTGAAGGTTTCCAAACTTTTTTATGCTTTCATCATTTAAGCAAGTAGTCCATTTCTATTCCTATTCTCCAGTGGTTTTGCAAAAGAGTCTATGGGTTAACTCACACCTAAGAACCAATAGCTAAAGAAATGGGAATGGAATCAGCAGTCTTTCGGTGCACGGATGACACCCAGCCAATTGAGCCATGCTGGCCAGGGCTGCAAGTCAAGTATTTTATACCTTCAGCTATGTCGTCAATACTTTGCTTAGAAATTAATATTACCATATTAAGACCAGGGACTATCTTCCATTACTGAACTTATGATATGGACTTCAACAAGTAAATAAACCTGATTGATACAGAAAGGGATACCCCCAAATTTTCAAATACACAGTAAGTAACTTAGGATTTCAGGTATTTGTTATATATAAAGTTGAAAGGTTATTCTGCTTTTAATCTATTAGAACACAGCACAGTCGCAAACATCCTATCTGGGATTCACTGCAATGCCTATTAGATGGAGTACCATCATACACACATGGTGAAAAAACTGAAGCTGGCGGAGTGTGGTCCTAGATGCCTCTGTGCTCCTTTTTCCAAGGCTTGGCTGCAAGCCTGCCCCTCGTCTAGGCTACTTTTCTTATTAAATCTAAATATCCCATTTAATTTCAAACACAGAGACCAAACAGAAACGCTGTGGTGCAGCACTTTCACTTCCCACAAGAGAAAGCATAAAAGGCAAGGCTACTGCCAGTTCAGCAAGCTTGGTCCTCCTTTACTGGTAACCACGTCGGAAGCAGGACAGAGAAGTTGATCTCTGAGGCTCTCACACTCATCTCAGGAACTTCAAACCCTGCTCTAGAAACACGGCAGTAGCTTCACGCTCGGTTTTGTTCTGCAGTCACCTCTCAAAATGAGAATGAAGCTCTTTCTCCCCCTTTGCAGGGAAGACGTGCCTGCAGCTGATTTATTTTCTCCCGTTCGTGGAGGCTTCTTTGGAGCCAACTGGGGGTTGCGGCTGGGAGCTCTTGGCCAGGACTGTGTGGTCTGTGATCATGAAATGTGATTTTCTTTTCCTAGTAAACTAACCGCCGTTAGCCATTCCTGCTCAGGCTCATTTGTCAGTTCCACATCCTCTACCAGATCCTGTAAAGGCCTGGTGTATCTCAGAGCTCGTCCTGAACCGTTTTCCTGCTTCGCTCTACCCTCACTCCTGTGTGACCTCACCACTCCCGTGGCTTCAGATGCATCCATGGGCCAATGACACCCACAGTCATAACTCAGCCCTGACCTCTTTTCCGAATTCATTTTGCAAATGCATTCAAGGTTTTTCTTTTCCTTGGCTATTTTGCAGGCATCTCAAATGTCCCATGTCCCAAACTGAATCCTTGGTTTCCTCCTGCCCCCGAAGTACTCCTCCTCCATTCTATCACCATCTTAATTAATAGCATCCCTTCCATCCATTTGCTCCAGTCAGAGTCCTGGGAGTCAGCCACCATACTATCCGCTCCCTGACCCAGTCCATTATCAAGTTCTTTCTATGCTACCTGCCGCGATTCTCTAAATTCTATCTACTTCCCACCATCTCCACACACATCAGTCTAGTTTATGCCCCTTTCCAATCTGTTCCCACAAAGTAGCCAGGATTTTTAAAAATGTAAATTAGAAAATGATGCTCCGCTTAAAATATTTGCTAACCATCACACTTTCTTGTTCCTGAAATTCTCATTTGCCTAAATTTTTAGTGTCTGCCTCTCCTTACCAGAATTTAAGTATTTTTTTAAATCCTCACCCAAGGATATTTTTCCATTGATTTTTAGGTAGAGTGGAAGGGAGAAACATCGACATGAGAGACACGCATCATGGACTGGTTGCCTTTTGCCCGGGACTGGGGATAGAATCCACAACTGAGATATGTGCCCTTGACCGGGAAGCCCAAGGCTCTTTGGTCTATGGGCCAACACTCTAACCACTGAGCAAAACTGGCACGGCAGAATCTAAGCTTTTTGAGAGCAGAGACTGTGTCTTGCTCACTGTGTCATCCCTGGGCCTAAAAGGGTGCCTGGCACATGGCGCTTCTGAAAGAAGCAGAGTCCATTTCTCCCCTCTTCACTATACTTAAATACTTCTCCATGGAAACATGCTGAGCTGCAAAATTAGAGTTTTAAATATATATGTGGGAGTTTTTGTTTGTTTGCTTTAAAGGCTAATGAAACAGATATTTGTTTTATCTAGCTAACAATGCGGTTTTCTTCCCCTTAAGAGCACTCCAGAGGGTGGTTTCTCTTACAGTCATCAATCAGCTCTCTTAAAGAGGGAAGATTTGTTATGCACCACGAGAAAACAGCAGAGGACAACAATTCAAATACTCAGTGGTTCTGACTGAGATACAGTAGAAGGAAACTTCTGCTTCTGATTGGACCTATGATTAAGCATGTAACAGAGGGATGGACCAAAGGTATGTCCTGGGATGCGACCAAGATGTGGATAGATGTTCTCAAGGAGAAAGTGCTGAAAGTACTGATTCAATATTTTATCTATTAGGTGAATTCACTTGTGTTTTAAAATATACATGTACGTTGTTGACTAATGAAAAATGAAGCCATATGTTAAAAGTAAACAAAGGATTACTACTATGCTAAAACTACTGAGGAGTATTTTACGGGAAACAATTGTAAATGTTATTTTGCACCTACTTATCTTATTGCCCCTCCCCCCATCCTTGGTAGCTCAAATCTATTTGGCTTAATCAAATAGTCCATTTTAGCAATGTTTGCTGAAAAGCAAATTGATATTCAGGGAATCCTGGCTTTAACATCAACAATTATAAACCTGGAGATAAACATTAATGGTAAAAATATACCGACCCCTGTATATATTTTACAAAGTACTCAGAAGGTTAAAAAACACACACATTTGTACAGCATTAACTAATGAAAAGTTATAGTTTTATGAAATTAACAAAAATTTCCCATAACATTACCCCAACTCAGAAATTGCTAATACAGAGAAGCACTCAAGTCACGTATTTTTTTAAATTTTGTTTTATTGCTTAAAGTATTACAAAGAGTAGACATATGTCTCCTTTTTTTTCCCCCTTGAACTTCCCCCCGCCTCCCCTACCCCCCAGTGTCTTGTGTCCATTGGTTATGCTTATATGCATGCATACAAGTCCTTCAGTTGATCTCTTACCACCACC